AACTTTGATTTTTGAGGGGGGAAAAAGAGACAGTAAGGAGGAAGAATTCCTTGAGTGAGAATTACAATTACAGAATAGATAGTCAAATGTCTGTTTTTACCCAGAACAGTCCAAATTTACAGCTGTCCTGGTCAGCCTAAGAATAGATGACTCTAGTTTTATTGGTACCCTTTTGAAAAACTGAAAACTGTTTCCAGAATCCTAGGGAGTTTTCAAACTCAAAAAGTTTTTTTTTAAGATTATGATTTGGTCTTTTTAGGTTACTGAAAGCAGCTGCTTTCTGAATAATGTACAAGCTGGAGGTCCCCGAAGTGTGTACATTTTTCAACTTATGAGATGTTGAACTGTAAGACAAAGATAGACCATGAAGGAGTTTGGCTACAGGCAGCAATTTTCTTACCTAGCTACTGCAGTTCTAAGACCAGAATCTGTCTAGTTCAATAATTTTATTTCTAGGCAAAGCTTATGGGGCCAGGTGTGATGCTGTAGGATAAGCACTGGACTGCTTACCACAAAGTCAGTGTGGTACAAACCCACCAGCCACTCCCTGGAATCCCTATACAGAGTTGCTATGAGTCAGAACTGACTTGAAGGCACTTAAAAACAAAAAGACAAAACTTATGAAAGACTATTTGAAAACCTAGCGTTTGCTTATGTGAAAGGAATCATCAAAATTATGAGCTTGACCTTTTTTTAATTATTATTTCTAAATAGCATCATAATGTTAAAGTGTCATGGATGATGAAAATATGAGAATCCTTTTACTGAGCACATGGCATACAGGCAGAGAACCTGGGAGTGGAAATGAGACAAGGGCCTAGCACCTAGCATGACACTAAGGGAAGAAACAGTTGGGCATTTGGCACAATAAACTTGGTCATGCTGTAGAAATGCCTAGAAATAAAATTGCTTAGTTCTTTGAGTCCCTTTTCAAAATTAGTAAAATATGACACATTCTGAGTTGTCAAGTGTTGCTGAGTCAGTTCTGACTCATAGGGACCCTGTATAGAGTTTCTGAGGAGTGTCTGGTAGGTTGGAACCACTGACCTTTGTAGTTAGCAGTCCAGTGCTGATCCTACAGCACCACACCAGGACTCCTCAGTCTGAATAGCAATATACATAAATATTACTTCTTTCCCGTATAAGTAAGCTTAGCAAGCAAATATATAACTATAGAGTAGAATTTGGAAAAGATGGTCTTGACTCCCTGCCCAGTTTGGGTTCATTACTGAAAATTGAAAATAAAGCTTCATATGCAATTAATTTCTCTCTATGGCTTATTTTTGCTTGGAGTTTTATGGCAATTATAATTTAGTGATGAATCTTGTTTGTAAAGCATCTATTCAAAAGAAGCCATCCTACTTTACTGACAGCTTTCAACAGCTCTGTGATGCAGGGAGAGAAAACAAAACTGTTTCAAGAGTCCTGATAGGGGAAACAGATATTCAGAAGTGCAGATAGAATCAGCAAGACCATCCAGTTAAAACATCAGGTATAAAACTTTCCTTTGCTAGCTGCACTTAGGTTCTATGGCCTTTAGCTTTTATCCCTCCTTTCAGCCCATGCACCACTTTCATTTACCAGGAACAACAACAATTATAAAAAGAACGATTCTGCCAACCACTGTTCTAATTACTTCAAAAACAGCAAACCTTTGGGAGATCACAACCACATAGGGCGTTACTATAAACCCCAAGTAATAAACGACAACCATGTTGCAGAAAGATCATGACATGCCTGAAGTCACACAGTAGTTGATAGAAGCAGAATTCAACCCAGGGACTTGAAAAAGTTAGTGGAAAAATGGAGTTAAAATGAAATTTTCTCATAGACTTTTTGTCTTCGTTCTGTGTACTTTGTAGAATCAGACATATAGTAGAAAATATATTTTTTCAATCTAAGTTAAAGACCTTTTGATTTCATCTCTGTTTTGTCTGGTATGGAGCCTGGAGATTTGCTAGGACTCTAATTTGTGAGCCACCATTGAAACTTCAAATAAAAATTTTCAATAAAATTGTCAGTCTAACAGGCAATAAATGCATAATCATAAAACAGGTCAGTCTTGAATGAACAGATTCTTACCTTCAGAAAATCTAAAGGTGGCAGATCATTTCATTTCAGATTTTATAAAAATAAGCAGTTGCAGCTGTCTTTAAATTAGAAATATAAAGTATTCCAAATTTATTCTGGAGAAATGTGTCTTGCTGCCTCATAAAAGCTTAGAAAAGGACAGGTTCCACCAAAGAATAGTTCTTTTATTATCACTGATAAGGAGATGAAAATGGTAGCAGAAAGGAGTATCTACTATAAACTTTTACTTAGAACCTTATGGGGAATCACTCATTTTATTACCGTGCTTTCTGCAAAAAACTTTCAGCTCCCTGGTGTGGCACTTAGGGTTAATGTGCTGGACTGCAAAGTTGGTTTGAACAGCAAGGTTGGCGGTTCAAGCTCACAAGCTGCTTCTTCAAAACCCTATAACAGGGTTGGAACCAACTCGATGGCACTTAAAAACAACAACCCCTTAAATACACAAAAAATCTTTCCGCATTCTAAGTCACTTGGTAAAAGGCTAAGCAACTTTTAAAGCTGCCATAAATGCACAGTAGACTCTGAGCCAGCTAAAAAAGCAAACAAAACAAAATCCCGGTGTAGTGGAGTAGTTGGAGATGAATATTCTTGCTTTGTCTCCAAGTCCCACAGTAAACTAAAGAGAGATTCCCTAGGGATGCAGATGTGTCATCCACCAGGAAGGCCGACAAAGGTAAGTGAAGGGCAGGAAGTGTTAGAGAAAAGGCTTCATGCCCAGTGAGTCACCTTGTCTATCTCCCAGATATGTTGTTACTGAAGCCTAGAACTGGGATGTGGGCCAGTCTGGCATATACAACCCACCAAGAATGGTATAAGAATGAGAATCCTGAACCTCAGAGTTGAACCCTCCTCTTCAAATAATGAATTGTTCTCTATCCAATATAAAAAACAGGTTTTTTTAATCAGTCACTGAGTGGGAAGATTCATATTCTTTATAGGAAAAAAAGAGAAAGATTCTGATGTCTGCTGTCATACAAATACAGAGTTTCAAAAGTGACCATATTATAGGAAAGTCCTCAGGTGAATTACAATCCTGATTTTGTAAGTTTTCAAAGCAACCAAAGCTTAGGGGGTTTCTTCACTCACCTCCACGCCAACACTATTCTGAGATGGCTCTGAGGCTGGGGTTTGCAAGAGTAAGTATTGGAAATTCCAATTGAAAGCCTCCATGAGTATCCAAAGGTGCTAAGTGGTAGAGAAAACTTTTTGTGGGCAGAGTTTTATTCAACAGGGTTGTACCCTGTCCAAAATGAACACGACATTCATGGTGAGGATCAGGGGTCTAGTTGTACGATTAAGCTACGAGAACAGCATGCTCACTATCTTTTAGTAATTTGAAGAGATTAACCTGGGCCACTAGAAATATTTAGGATAAACTTGTAGATGCCTAGGAGTGTAGGTGGAAACTGCCCCTGTTCACTTAACCTGCGGAAGGCAGTGAATTCTCATTTACTTGAGCCTTCCATCCGTGAATATCTGAACAAGGAGCAGGTTCTTTGGTCTTGGAGGAAGAAGCAAAAATACCATCAGATGTATAATGAGTGCCTCTGAGAGTCTAGAAGATGACTTCTTACACAACTCTTGTTAATGACTAGCTGTGTAACCTTAGACAAGTCACAGCATCTCTTGGAAGTCCAGGCTACTCAGCTGTCAGAAGGATTTAACAGATTGACTGCTGAGGTCAAGGTCAAAACTAGATCTCGAGGTTCCTTGACTTAGGCAAGTTTTCTAAGACACAGGGAGATCACAGTAGATTTTCTTTGGTGTTCAAATAATTTGACCGTTAAGAATTCTAGTACTCTCAGAAGGAATCAGCAAATTGAGACACAAGTCTTGATCTAAAATTAGGTGGACAGGGTTCTAACAGATGTGGAAAGAGAGAAATGCCCTCAATTTGTGATTTCTAAGATTGCAACCACTAGCTACATGTGCTTTTTGAATTTAAAAATTTAAGGCTAAAATTCCATTCCTAGATCACTCAAGTGACCGTCAAGTGCTGAAGAGTGACATGTGACTAGTTTCTACTGCATTGGTGCCTCTCAGATACAGAACATGGCTGTGATTGCAGAACGCGCTATTGCTTAACTCTCCCCTCACCTTTACCCAGACCACAAACTGAAGCTACTTGTCCCTTAGGGCAGAGTGTAAATGTTTGTGTTCCTAGGGTGACTGAGTGCAGTTTGGGGCAGTAGAGCCTGGATGAAGTCCTATATGGATAAAGAGATGTGAGAAGTCCTGCAGGCCAATGTTATTGGCATTGAGTAAGAGTTTGGAAGAGATAGGGAGGAGGGTAGGCTAGAGGATGGAATTAGGACATACCTGAACAGTTCTGTGTGTTGGGTCTTAACTAGCTAGACTAGACCTTCTGTAGCACTCAGGGATCCAAGAGGGGAGTTACTCAGAGAGATCATCACCCTACCGCACAAGTGATTCCTCAAATGGAAAAAGGTGAGAGCAATAGGTTCACCTTACTACCAGGAGACCAATGGCTCACTTTGTGCTCACTGATGGGAAGAAGGCTAGTCAAGCTTGACCCATGTTACAGGAGACAAAGTTGATATTAGAAAACCAGTCCATGTTGATGTGGGAAATCAACAATGCTTTCTAGAATTAGGTGAAGGGTAACCACTCTATCCTAACAACCAACTCTTTAGGCAGAGGTCTATGCTACAAAGGCCAGCTAATATTGTGAGACTTGAGTTTCTCAGTGCTACAGGGAGACAGGGCTTTTCCATGGGTTTGGCACAGTGTACTAGCTCAATGTTCCCTCTTGATTCTTCTGGCGAGAGGGCAATGCATGTAAGGAGAGGAAGAAATCAGAGGCCGGTGGCACAAAGAATGTAATTTTAGCTGCTGTCTGGAAGCCATCTGTCAAGGGAATCACCTTTCTTTTCTGGTCTTCCATCCAGGTGCAGCTGCAGCAGATGACACTGAAGATGCAAGCACCGAGTTCACTGACAGTATTGAGGAGGAGGCTGCACACAACAGCCACCAGCAAGTAAGTCAGTGTCAGGCCCCAGGCTCCCCAGGGTGGGAGGTGCACAGCCCGTCTGGAGTCTGATGGTCTCCCGGCAGCCCTTGGGAATCTAGAGTGAGAGAGCTCTTTTTATATAACTACTTCCCAGTTTTTCCTCTGTCCTCCCTGTATTTCCCAGCTGCCTTCGTTTTAACCTCTATTCTTTCTCCGTTTTTCTCTCCAATCCATCCTTTTTTGTCTTTATTCTTCTGTCTCTCTTACTGTTGCCTCCTACCCTTTCTTATCCACCTCTCCCCCTATTTACCTTCTGTAGCTATAGCTTGAAAAGATTTTTTTACTTACAACAAGATAATGGACACTTCCCCTCTTGGGGGTTTTATAAATGACACACTCTACAGAAGACAGAGGAGTCGTCAGAAGGCTGCTTGGGGAGAAGGCAGGGCCTAGGACCTGCTTGGGGAGAGAGCTTTATGAGAAACTCCTAGAGGACCTGGCTGATTACAATGCAGGGATCTTTCTCGGTGAAATTTGTTACATGAAAGAGAACTGTCCTATGTAATCTAATAAACCATCCAGGTCTTGACAACTTGATCACCCGCAGATGGTGCTACAAAGGCAAGTCCCTTTCAAACCTCTGAACTTGGCTCCCAAGTTTGAAGCACTATTCCCATCCACCATTAGTGAAGGTAACAAGTACGCTCTCAAGTCTAAGAGTGAATGTCACGGACCTCAGAGATGAAGTCACCGAAGGTGATTCCGCAGCATTCACTGGAAACCCTGTGTCTCCATATTGTCCAGTGACTTTTGGCACTCTCAGCTCCTAGATGGACCATGGCTGGGACTCTCTGAGTTGTCAAGGAGAAAGTGAATTGTTGGCATCTATCTTTCGGCAGAAGCAGTTGGGCTTTTCCAGTGATAGCTTCCTTGGAACCATTAAAAATGCTGTAGGAGAAACAAGACTTTCAGGGTCTGCCTTTTCATCCCCTGCATGAAAAAAGAAGACAACATCTAATAAGTCAATGGGAAGAGTCCGAGTGATCAGTCCCCAAATTACACAGTATTTGGCACAGTCTTTGGCTCTTGAGGACATAGGTAGTTGGGAACAACTTTTAAAAAGCCAACTTTACCTTCTACCAAGATGCCCTTTATGTTGCTATAGCCATTAGGACCCCTGCACTCTCCCATGAGTTCCTGCATGACCCCCACTTCTCCTTTTGCTTGAACTGCTTCTTCTGAATTCTGCTAACTGAGGTTTGTGGCTTTAACTGAGTACACTGTGTGTCTGCGGTCAAATCCCTCTGCCCTTCATTTCCTGACTTTATTGAGGAACTTGGGTGAGACATAGGCCTGTAGGATGAACAAATGTCTATTCTAAGATGGGGTTAGATTGGGGTGTCAGCAGGTCACTGTTGATTATTGCTACTATGGGAGAGGATAGATTTCAGAATAAATTATCAGAAGGCACTGGTATGAAAGCCAGATCAGTATTAGACCAGCATGTTCTAAAGTATCCCTGGCAGTGGGAACCCTCTGCTCTAATTCTCAGCCATAGGCAAACTGGTTCTAAAGTTATCTCTTCCTCAGCATTCTTTCATGTAGCCTAGGACCCCAGTTTGGGAAAAATTACAAGACCTCATTTTGAGAATACTCACTTTGGGCATTTGTATTTTCCTCACAATGGCTGTCACATTACTTGGCATAGGAGGTACTTAGAAAATTTTGAGTTAACATTGGATTGGGATTTTGACTCATGATCAATGCCTTTTGGATGAAGAATATCTTGGGTAAGCATCATATTCTCTTTCCATCACCTCTCTTTGATAATCAGCCATTTGGATAGGAAAAGAACCTTGGTGTTTGAAATCATTGTAAACCTACTGCAACTTTTTGGGAATTGGAGGGGTGTATTCACATGCTGCCAATTAAATAAAGATTGCTTTTCCATAATTTTTGTGTCCAGATTCTCAAAATTTTGTTTGCTTGTTTCCTTGGAAGTGATCCCTTAAGATTAGGCACTGAATCCCACCTTGTTGTGTCCTTGGAAAGAGGACTCTATTGTTGACAAGTTCTCTACTCACCTCAAGCATACACATCCAACTTTGTGGTCCTTACAAGACAAGAACCACTTTTTGGCCAAAACAAGTTGCTTTCTCTTCATTTTTGACTCACCCACTTCAGGAAGTCTCAAGTCTGGCCTAAATAGTGATTTTCCCCAGGCATCTCCTGAATAATTCCATTCTCAAGCAGATGTAAGATCTATGACAACCTGGGCAATTTCTGCAAAACAAACAAGAGTTAATCATCTAAGTCCATTGCCTTTCTCCATTTGATCTTTTGCAATTGGAGAAAATTAATTAAGAATGATACAAAGGAGAGTAAAGTCAATAGACTAAAGTCATCAGGGATGAACTTGAGAAAAGATCATTTTGAATGAGGACTATTTAAGGGCTGATCTACACTGTGAGAGATAGGAAGCAACAGTGTAAAAATAATACCAGTTGTTTTCGAGCAATAGCTCCATTCTCACAGAGACCTTTGAAGGACATTTGGAAACCCAGCATGCACAAAGGCTGAATCAGACCATGAAAGAAATAGAACAAGTGAAATATAGGAGATATAATTAGAAATAGACTGAAAGGAGTCACACTAGCATCACTCATACTAAAAAGCATATAAAAAAATCCCATTGTCTTAGAGTGTCCTTCACTTGTCTTTCATACATGATAAGGAAAAACTAATAAAAAGACTAGATCCTGAATCACTTTTCATGCTTCTGCATTTGAGTTTTTTGCCCTTTCCATACTTTTCATATCTGTACCTTAGTGATACTATATTCATCCCATTGTGCAGCCATCACCAATGACTCCAGAGATTTTCATCACCAGTAGCAGAGGCTCAGTGACCTTAAATATTGTAATTTTTAAAGACAAGTTTGATAATTAAAATCTTTTTTGTTATGAAAAGAAAAAAAGTAGCTTAGGAAAAACCCCAAACAAGCCCAGATCTCTATTTTGTCTTTGTAAAGTGGGAAATTAGACTAGGTGGACTATTTCATGGGTATTAAATTCTTCCCACCCCCAAGTATATTTAAACCAATAGAACAAGGTAACATAACATATATCCAGAACATACTTTAAAAGTGGGTCCACAACCTGTTGCTGTCGAATCAGTTCTGACTCCTGGCAATGTCACGTGTTTGGTGGTGGTAGTTAGTGGTGGACATGCCCCATCTAGCCTATTCCAACTCAGTAACTCTGTATAGACAGGGTTTCTGGAGCTGTAATCTTCACTGGAGCAGAAAGCCTCATCTTTATATTGCAGAGCAGCTGGTAGATTCAAACTCCTGACCTTGTGGGCCTTGTTCTGTTCAATATATTGGTGGCCTGAGTATATTAAACAATTAAGCAAAAACTTAATTTTACAGATCTGCATTGGCCTTCTCCACGATTTATGGATGAATTCACATCAAATATGCTGATGACTTTGACAGTCGGGACTTAATTCTGTATTTCTGAACATTGCAGTGTATTTAGAATAATGCACTTCACTACCAGGGTACCTTCTCATGCGTTTGTGGTTGTTGTGAAGTACCGTCAAGTTGGTTCTGACTCGTAGCCACCCTATATAGGGTTGCCGAGGAGTGGCTGGTGAGTTTGAATTGCCAACCTTGCAGTTCAAACAGACATTGTGGTCAAGTGTTTATCCTACAGACATCATTAAAATTAGTCATTATTTTTTAGTAGAAAGAACCTGTAAGGCTTTCTTGTTGTTTGTAAGTGCCATCAAGTCAGTTCTGACTCATAGCGATCCTGCAGAGGGTTTCCAAGGATGAGCTAGTGAGTTTGAACCACTGGCCTTGTTCAAACCAACCTTGCGGTCCAGAGCTTTATCCCACAACACCGCAGAATAAATGTCCCCAAACTTAAAACTGAATGGCAGTCTTCATTTTAGCTAGGTTAATAGGAAAGGCTTTATATAGATAGAAGGGTAACACATAGTTTGAATGAGTAGTGGGGTCATAAGCTGTTATAAATCATTTAATCCCACCTCCTTTTATTTTTCACAAATGCTTGGTGACACATACAGAAGTGGCCACCAGTGTAGCTAAGCCTGACAGTGGAGCCGGAGAGACAGACAGTCCTAAGAACCTCTCAAAGCTCCGACTCAGAAAACACAGATGGGATTGGAGGAACTGAGCAGTGTGTCTCTTTCTTTCCTGCTATGTGGGTTTATCTTTTCTCAAACTCAACCTCTGTGCTACTAGACGCCATTGTCCATACATGCCCTGAATGAACCCTGCCACAAACCTGTGGCCTAGATGGTACCATGCTTTATTACAGGATCAAAATAAAGGCCAATGATCTTGTGCTAACCCAAGCAGCTCTGTCAATCAGTGATCCATATAAACAGCTGTGGGCCCTGTTCTGTTCACTGTATCAGTGGTCTGAATGAAGGTATAAAACATAAAATTAATTTTACAGATTATCCCTAATTGTATGGCCTACTCCCATGATTTATGGATTAATTCACATCAAATATGCTGATGACTTTGATAGTCGGGACCTAATTCTATAAATCCAAAATTAAATTGATAAGTGACAAGTACAAGTCACAATATTTATATAGAAACAAGGAAAAACGGACCCACAGGTAACTATGGGTAGGGTTGGAAAATTGAGAGATCTAAAGTAAAACCCAAAACACTGCCACTGAGAGGTAAAAAGAAGCCAATATGATGTTGCAGTGTACTTAGAATAAGATTGGAGAGATGGGCAAGAAATTCTTCTATTAAAACATTTATTTATACTCTACTGTTGTTAGTTGCTGGTGAATCAGTTTCAGTTTATGATAACCTTATGTACAACATAAGAAAATGTTACCTCCCCCCCTCGCCCCGACTCCATTTTCATCTTTATTGGTACATTCAGGTCCATGGTTGTGGCCACTGTATTTTGGGTATCTTCCCACCTATTTTCCAGCATTACATTGGATTACATTCTGTTATGATCCATAGGGTTTTCATTGGCTAATTTTGGAAATAGATCAGCAGATCTTTTTTCCTAGTCTGTCTTCATCTGGATGCTCCAATGAAACCCGTCCAATCTGTTTCATGTCCATCAGGAAACCAGTTGGTACTTGAAATATGGTGACATGGCTTCAGTATTGCAATCACACACAAGCCACCACAGTAGAACAAAATTGACAGATGGGTTGTGGAGTTACATATACTTTATTCAACTCTGGTTTGGGCTTCCATACTTTTAAAAGCATGGGGGGGGTGGGGGAACTAGAGAGACATGCAAAACAAACTGTAAGAAAAGCTTCCCATTAAATTCTCATATGAGGAAAAAACCATAAGACTGGCTTTAATTGAAACATTAAGGAATAACTTCAAGGGCATCCTCAAGAGAAACAAAGATGTTGGGAAATGTTTCTGCCTTATCTCCTTCTTAGATTTTTAGAGTTTAGCTGGTAGCATCAACAATGAAATTTGCTGCCAGGAACAGCAAATTTAACTTCTTAGTAATTGAGAGGGTTTCCTGATGCCGTTGACATTGAACTTGCTGTATTTTACCTGTGTTTCTTTTTTGTTAAGTGCTGCCAAGTTGCTTCTGATTCAGTGACCCTGTATAGGGTTTGTGAAGAGTGGCTGCTGGGTTTGAACCACCAATCCTGCAGTTAGTAGCTTAGTGCTTATCCTATGGTGCCACACCAGGACCCATTTTACCTGTAGCTTTGCTCCATCAGAATTCCGGACTGAGTGCCCTGAATAGCTCATCCTTTTTGGAGTCCGGGCTATGGGCAGGGCCTTCATCACAAGACTCTGGGGTCTTGTAACATGATCTTTGCAGTCAAGGACTCAAGTGTTGTGGGGCTGATGAAGCTTCTGATGTGTGAAGAGATTCTCAGGGGGATTCCTATCAGAAAACAAATCACAGTGACCACATACACTCCAGTACTATTTAAACACCATTTGTTTCCATTGTTATTTTTTTAAATCTTCCTTATTGATATGTGTAAGTCATCTCATAAATGTCACTCTGTCTTTCAAAGTGTTTTTAATCATACTCACAACCATTGTTGCTGTGGTTAAGTGCCATCCAACTGATTCAGACTCAGGGACACTGCATATGGTTTCTGAGGAGCAGCTGGTGGGTTTGAACCGCCAACCTTAGCCTGTGGTCCAGTGGTTATCCTACAGCGCCACACCAGCACTCCTGTACAACCATTGTTGTTGTTGTTGTTAAGTGTTGTCAAGTCGGTTCTGATCCCTAGCAGCCCTGTGTAGGGTTTCCGAGAAGCAACTGATGAGCTTGAATGGCCGACCTTACAGTTCAAATTGGCCTTGCAGTCCAGCACATTACCCCACAGCACCACACCAGGACTCTGTAAAATCTTTATCACTATCTAATTCCAGAACATCTTCATTACCCCAAAAGGAAACCCTGGGTCCATTAGCGGTCACTCCTCATTCCCACCCACACTGTACCTGCAGCAAACATGAATTTAGTTTGTTTCTGTGAATTTGCTTATTCTGGATATCTGATATAAATGGAATCATACAATATGTGCCCTTTTGTGTCTGATTTCTTTCACTTAGTATAGTGTTTCCAAGGTTCATCCATGTTGAAACAGGTTGTAGTATTTCATGCCTTTTTATGACTTGTTGTTGTTGTTGTTGTTGTTAAGTATTGTGGAGTTGGTTCCGACTCATAGTGACCCTGTACACGGTTTCTGAGGCTGTAAATCTTTACGGGAGCAGAAAGCCTCATCTTTCTCCCACGGAACTGCCGACCTTGAGGTTAGCAGCCTGATTCGTAACCACTATGCTACCAGAGCTCCTTATGACTAGTTAAATAATATTCCATTGTATGACTATACCACATTTTGTGTCCCCATTCTCGAGTGAGTGTACATTTAGGTTGTTTCCATTGGGGCTATTATGAATAATGCTACTGTGAGCATTCATGTATAATTTTTTTGTGTGAGTATTTAAGTTTTCAAATCTCTTAGGTATATACCTAGGAGTAGGATTGCTACATTATATGCTAATTCTGTGTTTGACTTTCGAGGAACTACCAAATTGTTTTCCAAAGCAGCTGCACCATTGTATATTTCCACCAGTAGGTATGGGGGGGTTTGACTTCTCCACATTCTCACCAACACTAACTACCTGTCTGTCTTTTTGAGGGTATCCTTTCTAGTGGGTATGAAACCCCTGGTGTGGCATTGTAAGATAAGCACTGGACTGCTAACTGCAAGGTCAGCAGTTCAAACACACCAGTATTTCTCAGAAATCCTATACAGGGTCATTATGAGTCAGAACCGACTCAACAGCATACAACAACAATAGTGGTTATGAAGTGCTGTCTCATTGTGGTCTGATTTTCATTTCGTAAGAGAGAAAGACCTGGAGATCTGCTTCCATACATGTTGTTGCTAAGTGCCATCAAGTCAATTCCAACCCATACCGACCCTGTATAGGGTTTCCAAGGAGTAGCTGGTGAGATTGAACTGCCGACCTTACAGTTCAAACTACTTTGCTATCTGACACTTTAACCCACAGCGCCATGCCAGGACTCCTCCATACAGATTACAGCCAAGAAAACTCTATGGAGCAGTTCTGCTCTGTCCACACAAGGTCTCTGTGAGTAGAACTTAATTCCCTGGCACCTAACAACAAGAAAAGCAATGATTAATGATGTTGAGCATATTTTGATGTGCTTATTGGCCATCCATTGATCTTCTTTGGAAAAAATTCCTATTCAAATAATTTGTTCATTTTGAAATTGGGTTATTTATCTTTCTATTGTTGAGTTGTGTTTTTAATTTATTATATGCTTATGGTCCCTTTTCACCCACATCTGGCTTCCCCTCTGCCTCCCTGTGGCAACGCTTCCTCCTGCTCAGTTGTTTGACCTCTTGACCCAAACAAGTCTCCATAGCTCTATGACTGAGAAAATACTTGGAAGAGATAAAATGAACTCAGGGCTTCAATTTAGGTTTGACTTTCTCATTTCCATTAAAAGCTGACTTTGAAGTCTTATGGTCCTATTGGCTCTCCTTTAATTACCTAATTTCTTTATGCTTTTTTTCAGATCATCAAGGTGGCTTTGGAGAAAAGTCTAGCAGCTGTGGAAATCCAGAACCTATCTCTTCCGCCTCCTTCATCAGCAGAAGGGGACAGTAACAGGGGTCTTCAGGAGGAAATGCTCCACCTGAGGGCTGAGATTCACCAGCACTTAGAGGAGAAAAGAAAAGCTGAGGGAGAACTGAGGGAGCTAAAGGCTCAAATTGAGGAAGCAGGATTCTCCTCTGTGTCCCACATCAGGTACAACATTCTCCCCAGAAGAGGGGAACCTGCCAACATGGGACTTACCTGGCTGCTATCAGAATATTCATCCTGCCATGGCTCGCTCTTGGTCCATATCCCAGGCTTTATGCCTAGTGGTTCTATAAATTCTTCAGTGAAAAGGTCAATAATAATGGATAACAATAACCATTTTGTTATTAAAGAAAATCTGATCTTAATTCAATATAACAACGTACATTACTAGGCAAACATGTGGCAGGCAGGGGTGGAAATCTCCTAGTTTTTTGTCCAGTATCCCTCTGTTTTTTAAAAAAAAAAAAAAGTAATTAATTGATTTATTGTGGTGAGTAATATATAATATATATATATTATACACACACATATGTACTTATACAACATATATGTTGTTGAGTCAGTTCCAACTCATAGCGACCCTGTATAGGGTTCCCAAGGAGCGTGTGGTGCGCTTGAACCACTAACCTTGTGGTTCAGACCGACCTTGCAGCCCAGTGCATTAACTCGCAGCACCACACACATATATAGCCAACATTTGTCATTTCAATATTTTTTTACCTGTACAATCAGTGACATTAGTTACTTTCATCATGTGGTATAACCATCACTACTATCCATATCTAATTCTCCATCACCCTTAATACTCAGTACCTGCCATCTCTCCCCCACCCCTAGAAATGACTCCCTCTTCCTCCTGCTCCTAGAAACAGTATACATTTGGTCTCTATACATTTTACAATTCTGTATATATTCAATAGAGGAGTCCTGGCATGGTGCTGTGGGTTAATGCACTGGACTGAAAAGTCGGTTTGAACTGCAACGTCAGCCATTGAAGTTAACCAGCTGCTCTTTGGAAGCCCTATACAGGGTTGCTATGGGTCAGAACCAACTCAATGGCACTTAACAAATCAACAACAACATATGAAAGTGGGATCATATAATATTTGTCCTTTTATGACTGAATTATTTTACTCAAGGTGCCCTGGTGGCACTGTAGGATAAACACTGGACTGATAACCACAAGGGATCAGTAATTCAAATCCACCAAGCTCCCTGTGGGAGAAAGATGAGGCTTTCTACTCCCATAAAGACGTATAGTCTCAGAAACCCATGATGGTTACAGTGGTTGTGGTGGTGTGCTGTGGAGTTGGTTCCGACTCATAGAAACCCTGTATAGAGTTTCTGAGGCTGTAAATCTTTATGGAAGCAAAAAGCCTCATCTTTCTTCAGTGGAGCAACTGGTAGATTTGAACTGTTGGCCTTGTGGTTAGCAGCTTGGCTGATAGTCCACTACACTAACAGGGCTTCTTCAAAAACCCTATACAGGGTCACCATTAATCAACAATCAACTCGTTGGCACTGGGCTGTTATTTATTTATTTATTTTTTTTGGTTTTATTTCACTCAATGCCTTAGTTATCTAGGGATGTTATAAGAGGACTACTACAAATGGGTAGCTTTCACAAACAAATGTATTCCTCACAGTTAGGGGGTTGGAAGTCTAAATTCAGGGTGTTGGCTGGAGAGGAATGCTTTGTCTCTCTGTCTAGGACAGAAAGCCTCTGCTCTTGGGAGATCTTCCTGTGACTTGGCAGCTCTCTTCCCCATCTCTGCTTCTGCTCGCTTGTTAAATGTCTTTCATATCTCAAAAGTGACTGATTCAATACACACTCTATGCTAACCCTGTTTCAGTAACATAACAAAGGCAGCCCATCCCTGTCCTGTGTGAGAGATTAAACCTGAGTGGGGGTGACAGGAGATTAGAAATAAAAAGGAAGATACAAATGAAAATAGTAAAGTTGGGACCAGGTGGGACACAGCATTCTAATGGAGATACTGTGACACAGACCTAGTGCCACAAGTTTATTATATACACATATCAAAGGAAAGTGCTGGGGGCAGGGAAAAGGATGCAGAAAACATCAGGTATTGTTGATGCAGGCAGTAAGCGGGACTTTATCGAAAAAATGTAACTTGTGGTTGCTAAGGAGACAGAGATAGAGCAGCTAGATGTTTTTGCAGATTTGAACTGAAGGTCATACAAGGAAACACCCTTGCAAGTTCCCTGTCCCCTGAGGCAGCCCTGCAAGTTCCTCAGGGGGCAGCTTGACCTGGGAGCAGCCCGATTTTCTGGACCACAACTGTTCACTTGCAATCCGACGGTTAAACTACCCCCAAGTCTGAGACCTTCAGCTTAAATCGCTCCCAACACATCCCCAAATGTGATTATAACCCCAAACTAGAGGTTAGAATTTATAACACATATTCTGGGGTCAGGGTGGGAGCATAATTCAATCTGTAACACTCAGCATTGTGTTTTCAAGATATTATATATTGTTACATGTATTAAGATTTCATTTCTCTTCATGGCAGAATAATATCCCATTGTATGTGTATACCACATTCTTTTTTATATTGATGGATACTTGTGATGTTTCCAACTTTTGAGTATTGTAAATATTGCTGTAATGAACATTGATACACAAGTCTTTGTATACCAAGTAGGAGTGGAATTGCAGGGTCGTATGGGGATTCTGGAGTTCTGGTGTGGCACTGTAGGATAAAACATTGGACTGCAAGGTCAGTTTGAACCACAAGATTAGCCGTTCAAACTCACCAGCTGCTCCTTGGAAACCCTACCCAGGATCGCTTTGAGTCAGAACTAACTTGATGGCTCTTAACAACAACATGGCAATTCTACCCTTAATTTATTGAGGAAGCACTAAGCTGTTTTCCATAACAGTTATGATGTCCTTTTTTTGGTAAAAAGGGACCATTAGAAACTATAGACACAACCAAACTTTGACCCTAGATTATGTGTATTTCCTGCAGGAACACCATGCTGAGCCTTTGCCTTGAGAATGCAGAGCTGAAAGAACAGATGGGAGAAGCAATGTCTGATGGATGGGAGATCGAGGAAGACAAGGAGAAGGGCGAGGTGATGGTAGAGACTGTAGCATGCAAAGGGGGTCTGAATGAGAATAGCCTTCAGGCTGAGTTCAGGAAGCTCCAGGGAAAACTGAGGAGTGCCCACAGCATCATCAACCTCCTCAATGAGCAGCTGGTGCTAAGCAGCAAGGAGGGGACTAGTAAACTTACTCCAGAGTTCCTTGTGCACCTGGCCAGGGAGATCGACAGACTGAACACAGAGCTGGTTTGGCCTTCTGGAAGGCACCAGCACCATGAGGAAGAAGATGTGATCATGAGGTCCTGCCCCAGGCCACAGAGCCTTGACTTGGGGGCTGCTCTCACAGTGGATGGCTACCAAGTAAGTGTCAGCTTAGCTGGAATGAAGGACAGTTGGAGAAAAGCTGGAGATATCAGTTCTTGCCTTAAACAATTCTGCCCCAACACTTGGAGGGGAGAGGGGATGGGGAACTTTACACCCCAAACAGTAAAAATGATAAGATTCTTAGCCTTTCAAAAGCGTTTACAACATAATCACATAAATATTTTCTGTGTACTTAATTTTTCAGCTAATCCTGAAAGTAGGTGACAGTGGGCCATAACATTGGGTCTCTGCCCTGCATGACTTAGTATGCTAGGGAAAATGGCACCGAAACAGATCATTGCAATCTGATTTTGTAGCCGCCACAACATAGGGATTTACTAGGTTTTCAGGTAACCCAAGTGAGTGATGTATAATGACACCTAGCCCTCATCACTACCATTTCAACATAGCGCACTGTGAGTGCCTGTCCCTGGGCCTAAGAAGGTATCTGTCAAGATCCTCTGAGGGGAGGCACTTTGCTGAACTCAGTGAGATGGATAATATACAGAGACTTTTGAGAGGCCTACGGGGACAGAAATGTAGGGAGAGATGAGTGGAGGTTTCCAGCACGTCTCTTTAAACCTACACTGAGAGTTCTTTAGTAGGCTCTACTGGTCCTGTGCTATGTGTGATGGGTATAGAAATTTTAAAAGCATTGTACCAGCTCTCTGGGCAGCCGATAACTGCATAATGGCATGGGAAACGCTGTGACAGAAACGAGAATCAAGTCCATGGGGTTCAGTGAGGAAAGTGGTCACTAGAGCATGGAGAAGGACCTCAGTGACTGTCCTGATGCCCGCACTGGCTCCTTTCACAGGTGGATAACCTGTCCCACGCCAGTGACCCCAGACCTCGGTCAGGATTTAGCCTCCCAGGATCCACCAAACACCTGCGCTCACAGCTGGCTCAATGCAGACAACATTACCAAGATCTCCAGGAGAAGCTACTGATATCAGAAGCCACAGTCTTTGCCCAGGCCAACCAGCTGGAGAAATACAGAGTCAAGTTTAGTAAGTCTTCCAAGTTCACCATCACCAAAGTGACTGCTGTCTTCTCCCTGAGAAGCCACAAGCTTTACCGACTTCACTTTTCTTCTCCAACCTGCATAATAAATGAACTCCTTCTTAGCATCCTAGAACTGTGGAATTGGGTATTTTACTTTTTAATTTGCAGATGGTAGCAAAGAGTAAAGGAACAGGAAATTTTTTGTTTTCAGTAGGAGGATAGGAAGGGACTAGGCCAAAATTTGAAGTTTGTTGATTTCTGGACTAGCTAATAGATTACCCTGCCCTCTCAAGATTTACTGATTGTTTATCTTCTCCTTTTTGCATGTCACCACATTCTACAAAAACAGATTCCCACTCTTGATCTAGAAGCAGTCTGTCAACTAGAACTTGTGGCAGTGTTAGGGGTTTTTTTCTGTCTATATCTTAAGTAGCTATTGAACAACTTGAAATATGGCTAGTGCAATTCAGGAATTTGAGTTTTATGTAATTTTCACTAAGTTAGTATAGAATAGCCCTATATGACTAGTGGCTAGCTTATTGGACAGTGAAGGTCTAGGTGTCCTGGGACTTGCAATGTGTCCAGCTGAGTGCAAACATTTCCTGAGCCCTTATGGATAAACCACTTTCACTTAGAGATGAGACCATGCAACACTGACTTAAAGATGCTTGGTCCCAACGAATCCTAGGTTATCTGTAAGCGAGATCATCAATGGCAAGCATCCTGGCAGAGGGGAGCAGGTGGTTTCTTCTCCCTATGTGGACCAAAGGAGCATCTGTCCCATTCTGGATTGGATCCTCCCCTGTCCCTAAGTGCCAAGTTCTGTGGCACTGAGATTGAAGGTGTTTGCTGGAAGTTGAGACATTCTGTAACCTCATTGTGTTTCTCCCCAAGCAGGCGAATCTGTGGTGAAGCAGGACAGCAAGCAGGTCCAGGTGGACCTCCAAGACCTGGGCTATGAGACATGTGGCCGCAGTGAGAACGAGGCTGAACGGGAGGAGACCACCAGTCCCGGTAAAAGCACACGGTGTGGGGCTCATTCCCTGGAGTCAGCACTCACCTTTGGGTTCTGTTAGTCACTCCCACATCTGACAAGTAAGCGGGGAGGCACTTGCTATGAATGGAGGGGACTCAGGACTAGAGAAGGACAGGAAGTTTGCAGGCATGTGAGACTGAATTTCTACTATCACTTCTCAACATACTGCTGTTAATTGAAAAAAAATTTTAAATGTCCAATTATTAAAAAAAAAAAAAAAAAAATCTGTTGTTAAAAAAACCGTCCAGTCGGTTCTGACTCATAGGGATCCTATGTGGGGTTTCTAAGGAGTGGCTAGTGGATTTGAACCACCCATTTTGTGGTTAGCGGTCCAGTGCTTACCCTACAGCGCCACACCAGGACTCTTGAAAAATACTAAGACCTACTTATTAATGGAGTCCTGGCGTGGTGTTGCGGGTTAATGTGCTGCTCTGCAAAGTCAGTTTGAACTGCAAGGTTGGCAGTTCAAGTTCACCAGTCGCTCCTCAGAAACTCTATACAGGGCTGGAACAGACTCGACAATACTTAACAACAAATTATTAATGAAGAGACAAGATGAACTTTGGGGGATAGGCAAACCATAAATCGAAACTTTTCTTTCTTCCTTTTAAAATGGCTATAACCATAGCATCACCCACGAGAAAAACTCTCGTGGTGTCTCTCATCAGTGGGGCTGTTTAGTGTGTGGGTTACAAGTAAAGACACTGGAGCCGATGTTGGTTCAAATCCCTTGAATGTCTCTATGCCCCAGCTCCTTCATTTGTTAAAATGGTGTTAAAAAAAAAAAAAAACACCTAATCCACTCGATACTGATTTAAAAAATTAGTCAATTCATATAAAACACTGTAGAACAGTGCCGGACAACTAACTGTCTGAGCTGTCATTCTTACAGCCTAATACAAACTATTGTTAGGCCATATAGCTGATGTAGGAGGGGACTTCCACTGTGAAAAATGGAATGAAGAGACAATGGGATTTTCCCATGAACTTTTTGAAGCCCCCACATATTTCGTTGAGATCTTTTATTCCTATTTTCACACAGCTGTAAACAGATGAACTTTTCCACATTGTAATTAAACTCTCAGCAGTTAGGAATAGCTTGTCCTAGAGTTCTTGTGGTCTTCCTAAATATAATGTTAATGTCTATCTTGAAAGACATCAGTTTGTGTGGAAGGGCACAATCCGTACAGGCAGACATTGCAGGGATTGAATTCTGACTCTGCCGTGTACAGTTTGAAGGCATTAGTTTACACCTCTCTGAACTTTGGTTTGCCCATGAGATAAAATGAAACCTTGAATTGCAGGGCTATTTGTTGTTGTTGTTAAGTGCCATCAAGTTGGTTCCAACTCATAGCAACCCTGTATAGTATTTCTGAGGAGCAGCTGGTTAAGTGTGAATTGCCTACCTTGCAGTTCAAACTAACCTTGTGGTCCAGTGCTTATCCTACAGCGCCACACCAGGACTCCCAGCAGGGATGTGGGGGGGATAAGAAATAAGGCATTTGAGTGCCACGGGCAGTGCTGGGGCAGAATAAAACAGGATTCCACTGTTGTTCTACTAATCATTGTCCTGGTGACTAAAGTGGCCTGCCCTCGAAGGGACTGGCCACAGCAGCACGTCCAGCATTTACTGAGGAAGATGTCCCTGTCTTTTCTCAGAGTGTGAAGAACATGCCAGCCTCAGAGAAGCAGCCCTGATAGATGGACTGACGAGGCCCTCCAGGAAGATGCCCCTGCAGAGGCAGCTAGGGAAGCAGGAAGAGTTTCAGGCATATGGAGAGTCAGAAGACGTCTCTGTCCTACAGAGGGACATTAAAGATCTGAAGGCCCAGCTGCAGAACTCCAACAAAGTCATTCAAAACCTCAAGAGCCGAGTACGGTCCCTCTCGGTTACAAGTGATTATTCATCTAGTTTGGAAAGACCCCGAAAGCTAAAGGCCGTTGGCACCCTCGAGGGGTCTTCACCTCATAGTGCCACTGACGACGATGAGGGGTGGCTGTCTGATGGCACTGGAGCTTTCTACCCCCCAGGACTTCAGGCCAAAAGGGATCTAGAGAGTCTCATCCAGAGAGTGTCACAACTGGAGGCCCAGCTTCCCAAAACTGGACTGGAAGACAAGCTGGCAGAGGAACTGAGATCAGCCGCATGGCCTGGGTAAGTGTTAAGAGGTCCAGACATTTGACAGTGAGCTGGCAGCTCCAGGAACAAGATCTGGCCACGAGGTGGCAGTGTTGCACAACAAGACGTTTACTGGGTAGTGGCGATGGTTGTGCAACATGGCGAGTGTGGTTGGTGTGACTGGACTGTACAGATAAAAATGGTTGAAATGTCAAATGTTTGTTGACTATTTATTGCTACAATAAGAATGACGTTTGTTAGTTCTGATGCATTGATGGTTTGCATGTGGGGATCAGTCCCCTGCAACGGTGACCCTACCAAGGTAAGAAGTCCAGGGAGCTACAAGGAGTAGGGGGTAGAGAGGCTCCTGGGAGAGAGGAGGAAAGTGGAGAGAGGGGGCTTATGTGTCTAGGTGTTGTCCTTCAAGCCTTATATTGGTGGTGGTGGTATCAGGTGCAGTTGAGTCTGTTCCAACTCATAGAGGCCCTGTGTAGGGTTTCTGAGGTGGGTTCGAACTGGTGGTTTTGAACTGCTAGCCTTGTACTGATCCTAGAGCGCCAGTAAAATATGTCACTGTCCTTAGCCACATAAAGCTTATGATTTGTTTTTCAACATGTGACTAGTACATTTAAAATTGTTTGATGCGGTCTTTTTTCTGAACAGAATTTCCTTTTTCTAGCTTATGTGTCAGTGGTCTGCCTGGAGAGCTCTTTGGAAATCTTCCAATATAAATCTCTACAGAAGCCCGTAGAACTTATCATTTACTCCTTTTCATTCTTAGTCTTTATTCACTTTTCCTTCATTAGGAAATATGATTCCCTGATTCAGGATCAAGCCCGAGAACTATCCTATCTGCGGCAGAAAATACGAGAAGGGAGAGGTATCTGCTACCTTCTCACACAGCACGTGAAAGATGCAATAAAATCTTTTGAGGATCTCCTAAGGAGTAATGACATTGACTACTACCTGGGGCAGAGCTTTCGAGAACAACTCGCCCAGGGAAGCCAATTGGCAGAGAGGCTCACCAGCAAACTGAGCACCAGTAAGTTGGCCATAGGTGTTTGGAATACTTTTTGTCACCTTTACAGTCCCAGGTCTAGTGACCACTACATGCCCACAAGCTGCTTTTTCACCCAGGGTCTTGTTTCTACTTCCTCTCCTGGGGGCCATTAAAGGTTCTGGGGTGGTTGTTGGGGAGCATCAAGGAGAAACACAGGGTTGGAGATGCCATGATTATGGCTGTTGAGAGTTCATCATTCGTGTGATGTGACCTTTGGAGAAGGAGGCAGCATCCATCCAGTGTTGATGGGAAGGAAAAGGGATAAGATGCAAGAAGTTTGTTATAGTGAAAAGGGCCCTGGGCTAAGAATTGCAAGACCCAAGCTATAGCCTGGATGCTGTCATTTGGGCAAGTGACTATCCTCATAGTATCTCTGCTTTGTCATTCATTATAAAAGTCCTTGGGTATTATTACATGGTATTGCATATGAATATACTTTGAATATGGATAAGCACCATGTTCTTGGCTTAGGTACTGGATGTAGAGTACCAAGGTCGGAATGCCGGTTATTACTGGAGATCTTTATTTAGAGGGACTTTTCTGAGAGCACCTGATAGAGTTCAGCAGGATTCGACTTGGGGGCTGAACATTCTATCTCCAGAGATGAGACAGGGCAGTTTGTCATCATCTCCTCAAAGGCAGGAGTAGATTCTAAGTGAAAGCTATGATAAGACACCCACCCAGTAAAGTACCTGGGAGCCAGTCTAGTATTAGGACTTGGGGGCTACAATGTTCCACAGTGCAGCTGCAGCTGGGTAAGGGCTTTCTGATCTTTGGGTCAAAGGATGTTTTAACCTTTTTGTCCTGATTCAAGGCAGAGAAAGTCAAGATGGTGATCACTTGGTCAGGGAAGGTCTACCTGGTGAGCTCTGAAAGGTCTAACTGGTGAGCCTGCCATTCCTCCTTTCTAAAGAAAGACACAACCTGAGACCTCGCAGAGCAATTCTCCTAGAGTATCCTGGATGCACACATAAAATAATCACTTTTCTTTGATGGCTAGGCCCCTGTGTTTGTTCTTTTTGATATAGAACCTGTTCAATTTCTTACTGTTTGTCTTTGAATTTGGTTTACAGAAGACCATAAAAGTGAGAAAGATCAAGCAGGATTTGAGCCGCTGGCCCTCAGGTAATTCATACTAGGATCTCTGAAAGAAATCAGGAACAAGGCTCATGAGGTCAAGGGGGGCTACAATTTCCCAATTCAGGGGCAGGGGAAGGAAAATTATGATTGAAATGAGTTCACTTCTTCATTCAACACCTTAATGTTGGTTTAACTGAACTCTTGATTCTCCATTGATATGAGTCTATTGATTTCCATTTGTACATTAATTCTCCAGATATAGCAGCTAAAAGCCAGTTTTACCTAAAAGTTAACTAACCAGATTTTAGGAGCTCTCAGCATCCTCAGAGGTCTCCTCCGTCCCCTGCTCACCCCACTTTCCATACATTTAAAGACCAAGGTGAGCTTTGAGTACAGTTGACCTGCCCAAAATTGGATTGCAAGCTAGTTTAACAGCCACCCCATTTCCTTGGGGGTGAAAAGAGAGAGAGTCACAGTATCTAGTGAAAGAGGCTTGGAGGTTAAAGATCTCTGAGAGGCTACCTTTGCCTCAAGAGCCAGTTTTCCCTGACTCTGCATATTGTTGTTAAATGCCATTGAGTCAATTCCAACTTACAGTGACCCCATATAGGGTTTTTGAAGAGCTCTGGTAGTATAGTGGTTACGAATTGGGCTGCTAACCTCAAGGTCAGCAGTTCGAAACTACCAGCTGTTCCATGGGAGAAAGATGAGGCTTTCTGCTTCTGTAAAGATTTATAGCCTTGGAAACCCTGTACAACATCGCTATGAGTCGGAACCGACCCCACGGCACATAACAACAACAACATAGGGTTTTTGAGGAGCAGCTGTTCCAACTTATAGTGACCCTGTATAAGTTTTTTGAGCAGCAGCTGGTGATTTGAACTGCCAACCTTGTGGTTCACAGTCCAGTGCTGATCCTACAGCGCCACACCAGGAGTCCGACTCACTGCATATAAATGGTCAATAAAATATAGTCTCAGAAAGGTTCATTGCAGCCTGTAAGCTTGAGCCTTTCTGTGTCCTGAGTGTGCTAAGACCATGTTAAACTTCACAAACTATCTGTTGTCATCTGGCTTATGTAACTTCCTGCATGGGCCTTGGTCAGGACGAGCTGGTCTAGGTGACTTTGGATCTCATCTGTTGTCCTCCCTCACTCCATCAGGCTCAGCAGGGAGCTGCAGGAGAAGGAGAAAGTGATTGAAGTCTTGCAGGCCAAACTGGATGCCAGATCCCTAACCCCCTCCAGCAGCCGGGCCTTGTCTGAATCCCCTCGCTCTCCCAGCAGCACCTCCTTCCTATCTGATGAGCTGGACGCCTGCTCAGACATGGACACAGGTAGCGAGTACACACGCTACGAAGAGAAGAAAGCTTCGCCCAGTCACTCAGGTAGCTGGACTTCCTGAGTGACACTGTCTGTTCCTAGGCTAAGAGGAGACCTCTGTAAGCAGGCCTTGTGGCCCATCTTAGTGTGTGTCATGTTGAACATGGCTCTGGAACCAAGTGCCAAGTACAGGTCCCAGAAGGTCGGGAACCTTTGTTCTTTTCTCGACTCTAGTAGTCACCGCTGCCACCCTCCATTGGCACATGCTGCTGGACTGCAGGCAAGACATAGTGTGGAGAGTGAAGCGTTCACGGCAGACTCTAATTCACCCTGCCTCATGTGCACAGTGTCTGTCTGCTAGACCCTCCTTTAAGATGAGACCTCTGTGCAATGATCTTGTTAATTGCCATTCATTAACTATGTCCCCTAAGCATCTGTGTGTGTCCACAGATGCTGCTGGTTTTGTCTGATATTTCTGGAGGTGCCATTTTTATGGTTCAGGGCTCTGAGCCCCACTATCACCCCTAAGGTAGCTTGTCTCCCCAGGAGGAGCTAGCTATCTGTGAGCAAGGAAATGAACCCCGATTCCTGTTCTCAAGGAAGACCAAACCTTTTCTTTCATTCATGGGTTTATAGATTCCATCCATCATTCGAGTCATTCTGCTGTCTTGTCTTCTAAACCATCATCAACCAGTGCGTCTCAGGGGGCTAAGGTCGAATCCAGCAGCTTGCCAACTCCCCAGAACCCCCCCAAGGAGACCAGCCAGGCCCATTCAGGTATGCAACTGCCCAGGGGTAAAGGCTCCATCTCCTTTCCCGCCAATGACTGATTTCTCTGAGGGACAACTGTTTGAATGCCAGGGGCCTGTATGCATCAAATCTTAGATAAAATCAAGAGGCTATTACAATTTCTTAAATGTGTCTGATTAAAAATTATATATTTTAGAAAATAAGTAATTCATTGTTAGGCTTTTCTCCGCTTACCAATTTTGGCCAGTGTTGGGTCAATTGTTTTATTTTATTTTTATTATTTTGTTTGCAGTCTTTTGGCTAATCATTTAAAAAAAAAAAAACACCTTGTTTGTTGCGAATTGAGTGAAGGGAGGTTTATAGACAAGATCATCAGCTTTACATTCAACACATCATACACTTTGCTTTATCTCAATGATTACAATCCCCTCCATGCAGCAACAGTTATCCCACTTCCTCCCTGTGCTTCCTATATCCATTCCATCTACCTTCCCATCCCTTACACTTTGTCCTTAGACAAATGTTGCCCTTTGATTTGGAAACATTGACCATTCCATGGCAAGCATACCTTACTAGTGTTGTTGTCCCCCTGTATACCTACCTACTACTTGGCTGGAAACTGGGCCACTATGGTGCATTCCTTTTCAGACCTGAGTGGTTGAGGGTCATTGTCTCAGGTTCCTTGTCTCTTTCTGACTAGTAAGGCCAATCTGTTATTTCTTTATTTTCTTTTTTAATAATTTAAAGTTTTGTTCCACATTTTCTCCCAGTCTATCTGGGACCTTCTAATGTGATCCCTTTCAGAGTCGTTAGTAGTGGCAGCCGGGCACTGTCTAGTTCTTCTGGTTTCAGAGGTGTGGAGACAGATGGACTAATTGATTCCAACCATCTCCAATACTCATCACTCTTCTTTCTTCTACACCTGCAGAGACCAATAGCTGCACCTAAGATGATCAGTTATGATCCCAGATGCTACTCATCAAAGTAGGATGTAGAACACTGTCTTTGTGGACTATGTTATGCCATTTGACATTGGTATCCCCTGCTATGGTCCTGAGTCCCCAGGTCCAGCAACTCATTTTGGTTCATCTTTTTTTTCTTAAGTTTTTATTGTGAATTATATGGGTCCACATGGGAGAACATCAGCTTTACATTCATCCTGTCATATTTCATTTCATTGCAATGATTACAATCCCCTCCATGCATCATCAAACAACCAAAGGGTACACTACATAGGCCCGCCCTCTGGTCGTCAGCACACAGCCCCTCTCCCTCCCTGAGTCCAGTGTTCCCAGCTGTTCCATCTGTTCATGTCATCATCTGTCTCCATTTCTGGCGTCACTGCTTCTCTGGGTAGAGTCCCGCTCTCCATTCTTCTCACTTGATGGTCCTAGGGACCTCCGCTTCTGGACTGCAAAATCAATCACTCCCCTCCTTTTGTCAAAAAACATCTACCTCTATATTTCCTACTCTCGCAGTCAGTCCTGATGGCAATTATTCACTATTGTACCACAAGAGTCTTATCTCCATTTCCTTTCATCAGCCCTGTCCCAACAGATTGGAAACCATTCAGTGGAGATTCTACGTTCCCCCGCCCCATCTGGATCTAGGCTCCCTCTTGAAAGCTTGTAAGCCAGTCACTTCTTGCCTTAATAGCCCCCATACCAAATTTTGGATAGCCAATGTCTAAGTTGCCCATCTCTGTCAACCCTGTGTACCTAGGGGGTAGGAGTGATCCTCACTGTAAAGATTTGTTCCCTTTTTTGAGCTACTACATCGATAAGTATAGGTAAAGTTCATCAAATTGTAGGGAGTTACTCTTTTTTTTTCTCTTCTTTCTTCTTCTAGTCGAGTTCTGATCTTGGCTAATCATTTTTATTCCTTTCTCTCATTTCACTCTGGGAAGAAAAGAGGCAAAATAGTCCTCTTAGAATGACAGCAGTCAAGAAGCAAAAAGAATCCCCTCCTGCAGATCACCTGTTTGTTACACCTACACCTGTGTTATCCCGTTTCCTCTGCACAGTGACCTCCTAAAGTAGGTGGTAGTACTTAGAACAGCAAAGGCTAAAGCTCAGCATTTTATAACCCATGATGACCAGCTCGTGGGTACTACTTGAATTTACCCAAGCTGGGTGGATTAGAAAGTTCAAGTTCTGCCTGCTGCCCTCTGTACCCAGAACTGCAGAAATTCAGCAGGGATGGGCTCACCCCTCCTGAGCCCTTTGGCTAAGTAGTCTTTCTATTTCAGTTGTGTTTTAATCTCATTCTCTCCTGCTGCCACTTAAAGCCTATATAAAATCCTAATGTTTCCCAGCAAAACGGGATTCTTTATACACAGTTCTATCAGCCATGGATTTATGAATGGATGAATAGCCCCTGATATGTTCATGAGGTGTGTCTGGGACCAAGAGAGGCCACATGTCATGGACTTTGCCTGGAGGTCGCACCTCACTTCACCTTCTCACTTCTGCACAGCTGTCTGCTTACCTTCAGTGTGGCTGGTCTTCTACATACAATGAAGTGTGCTGGGGATAGAGGTGCTCCCAGAAAGCACAGCGCTTTCCCTATGCCACCCCCATGCCTCCTGAGCACAAGTCAGCTAAAGCCTTAGGAACAGAAATGTCCTCTCTCTTCCCAAGTCAGGGCTCAAGAGATTCTGGACCAGAGTGGGTAAAAGTTGAACCAGAAAATAAGTGGGAGCAAGTTGTTTGTCCAGAGCTGTAGGGATCTGCATGAATGATTTGAGGTCAGACAGAGCAGATGTTTGTTGTTGTTAGGTACCATCCAGTTAATTTGGATTTATAGCCACTGCATATGATCAAGTAGAACTTTCTAATGGGTTTTCAAGGCTGTAATCTTTATAGGAGCAGATTACCAGGATATTTCTCTTGGAGAACTGCTGGGTGGGTCCAAACAGCCAACCTGTTGATTAGCAGATGAGCATCTAACTCTTGTACCAACCATCAGGGCTCCTTTGAGCAGAAGGTCAAGGGTTTTTAAATCAGAATGCTTCTGTTAAGGATGCCTGGGCCCTATTGCTTGGTAATTTGGTGCCTTTGTTCTAATCCAGTGTCAGCATCCTAGGGCAAGAGACTTGTTTTAGAATGTAGCCATTGTCCTTCATTAGTAGGCATTCTTCATAGATCAGTCTTGGTTTCTACTCCCCACACTGGCTACCTGTCCCTATCACTATGTTCAGGAATTTGCAGGCAGACTCAAACATGGAAACTTCCCAGAGTCCTTAAAGACTTTTCTATAGGTGATCTGCATATTGTTTGCCTGTGAAAAATGCAAATATCCAAGTCTTATTCCCAGAGTTTATGATTCAGTAGCCCCTGGGTAGCGCACATGATTGATCAAGGGACTACTAACTGAAAAGTTGAGGTTCAAACCCATCCAGAGGCACCTTGGAAGTAAAGCTTGATGATCTGCTTCCTAAAGATCATAGCCTTGGAAACCCTATGGAGTGCAGTTCTAGTCTGCACACTTGGGACAGCCTTGCATTGTAATCAACTCCATGGCAGCTAACACCAACGAAAGTTTGGAATTAGAGCCTGAAGAACCTGCATATATTAAGAATTTTTCCTAAGTGTTTCTAATACCTGAGAAGTTTGCAAATCATTGAACCTAAGCCACTCAGCCAAGGCACTTCTTTCTTTCTTTACTATATTTTGTGATAATACTTCTCTGCATTATGTTCTAGTGGTTTCACTAATTTGGATATCTATGAAAATATTTTAGAATATATTCCTTGAGAAAGTGCAAGGTCTCTTATATTATGTTAAACATCAAATAATGCAATATCTTAGAGCTCAGGGGGCATTTCAAAATGAAGTATTGATCATCCAACTTAATTAGAACCTCAAAGGTTTCTATTATAGGCATAGAAAGTTCATAGCCTAGTAATGTCATTATAAGTATTATGATGTCTTAGCCCTTTCCCTGCAAAGTGATTAAGAACTGTAGAATGACTTCTATTCTATTGTCTTTGACCTTGACTCAGATCGGTGGGCAGTATACTGAAAAGAATAAAAACATATACATTTCATTTACTGTTTCCTTAAGAAATATATGAGGGGGCTTCAAAAAGTTGATGGAAAATGGCATTGAAAGATAATGAAAATTTCCACCAACTTTTGGAAACCCCCTCATATGTGAGAGTATATGAAGGCCTTTCTTTTTTCATTTGGTGAATAAACACACTGATTTGAGATTTTGAAGTTTGTTTCTGTCAGACTCCTGAACTGCAAATTTCTGCAAATTTCCCCCACAGTCCTACCCTCCTCAGAGTGGTCTCTGATACATTCAAAGAGGGGTCCTAGGTGTTGGGAAGGTCTTGTCACAGGAGCAAGGACTGGCAGGTGTTGGGAACAGCAGCTCAGGGAGCTGGAGAACATTCAAGCACACCATTCTACCCCAGTCATGCCTGGGATTGCTGGGGAGGGGCACTAGGGTACACTCTGGTGGCTGCGCTTGTTACAGATAGGCCACCTCACCCTCTATAGCCATTCGCTTTCATGATGCAGATAGAATATGTGTGCAGGATGATCCTGGTCAGAGAAAATACAGGGGAGGCATTCAGACCAGCCCCTTGTCTAGGAGGGGTCAACCTTATCCATCTCAGCCAACACCACACTGAATGATAGTCCCTCCCCAAGAAGACATCTGGTCAGGAAATAGTTTCACTTTCTTAATCTTTTATCTATTCTTGCTTCTCACTTTCTCTCTAATGACGTGTCTCCTTTCTCCCCATGTTTCTGTTTCTAGGCTTTCATTTTAACTCCATGCCCAAGCTGGTTAGCTTCCCCCAGCCTCCATTGCCCTCAGCTCCACCCAGCTTCCTGCCCTTCAGCTCCCCTGGCCCTCCCCTCCTTGGCGGCTCGGAGACACCGGGGTTCTCCTTGGCCGAGGCGCAACAAGAGCTGCAGATGCTGCAGAAGCAATTGGGAGAAAGTGAGCACCCCGTGCTGCATTTGTGTGTTTGCGGCTGCCACCCCTACACTGGGTTGCTCTGCATGGCTTTGGCTTGTTGGCAGAGTTTAAACAAATAACAACTAAGGGGTACATGTGATACATGGAAGATTGAGGGAAAGCTCTGCTTGTTATTTGGGAAATGACTTTACTTATTGTTTTTCTAGTGTGTGTCTAACCAGTTAATGAGTATACATGTTCACGTGGCACTCATGCACTGTTGAGAGTGTTGGGAACCGCATGAGTTCTGCAGCCCTGACCAACTCATAAAATGTTTATTGGTAGGGCCCAAAGGATGCTTTATGTCTTGAATATGCAGGATAGGGTTGCTCTGAGTTAGAAGGGACTCAACAACAATCCTCAATAACTTGCAAGATGAAAGGACCATGGGAAAGTTGAGCACACTCAGTGGGATCTTTTGTATGGCAATTGCATACTCCTGCTGTGGGACACTTTTAATAAGTTCAGATCCTGCATCCTCAGGTCAGGGGCAAAAGGGCTGGTAGTGGAGGAGTTCAGAAGAAGAGGTAACAAAGTCTGTTTTTCTATGGCCCAATGATCACCCCTGCTTTGGACAAGTGGTACCAGGCAGCTAGAACCAGAAGCAGAGGTTGAATGATATCTGCTTGTGAATTCTGTCTGGTGACTCCTGAAGATAATCGTCTATTGTCATAGAAGCCCTAGACTGTGTAAGGTCATCTTGCAGCAAAGAATTTGAAGTACAGATGGGTTGGTTTCCTCATCATCCTTTTTTTATTTTTTGTATGTATGGGATTATTTAAACAAGGTAAAATCAAAGGGTATTGCTAGAAAATCATTTGTTGTTGCTATTAAGTGCTGTCAAGTAGATTCAGACTCACTGCAACCCTGTAAAGAGTTTCCAAGGAGTGGCTGGTGGATTCATGCCTACCTTGAGGTCCAGTGTTTATCCTATAGCGCCACACCAGAACTCCACAAAGTCATAGAAAACTGTATTATACAAAGATCTCAACATGTGAAGCTATTGTTTCTCTACACATCCTTCATCTAGGTCTACAAACTTCTGAAGGCAGTGTTTCCATTTGCCTAACCCTTCCCAGAAGAACTCTGCACTCTTCAATTTATATCACATCAACATGGCAGTTTTGGCATCTTTGAGAGACTAAAAAAATCATGTTCCTTTTAAATGTTCTTTAAGTTTTTGGAACAAATAAACGTCTAAAGGAGCAAGATCAGGGATGTAAGGAGGATGGAGTAAAGTCTTCCAATTAAATTCATATAGAACTACCCTTGCTACCTTTGAAGAATGAGCACCTACATTGTCGTGATGGAAAAAAATTCTTCGGTGCACTTTCTTGGCCTTTTTCTCACCAATGTAAGTTTTCAATTTTCTTAAAACTTCTTCTTAATAAGCACCCATGATTGTCCTGTATCCTTTGAGAAAATCTATTAAAAAATAGTCACCGTAACTTTCTGAGCTGACCTCTCTGCCTAGACCTTAACTGACCCAGCAGATCCCACTGGAAGCTGCTGTTTTGACTAGACCGTTTTGAAGGCACCCTAATGAAACTAAGACAAGTGTGTTACTGAGAGAACTTGTCTGTAGTCATCCACTGATCACAAAAACATGTTTAAACATGTTTTGTGTGGAATAAGCCCATCCCTGTATGAACTGGAACCCTAGTAACAATACTTTCTGATGCACCCTTGTAAATTAAAAAAATAATAGTAAGAAGAAAAACACATTTTGATAATTTTGCTCTCTCGTAGTACTTTTGAAACACACACACACACACAAAACCTAGAGAAGTTTTAAATGACCTCAGAACTACATGTATGTCTGTAAAGAAGCTTGGGTGAGTGCTAGCCAGGGTCACCATGCTAAGGGTGTCCAGTGACCTAAAATCACAGCTGAAAGTTTCAATCCAAGTGTCATCTAGACCAGCTTAACTTCTTTTATCAACCCTGAGGATAGATACTCTTTCTACTCTTCCCAATTTGATTTCCAGAACCCAGTTAGACCAAGACCATTTATTAGTAGAATTCATACTTTTCTGTAGGCAGCTCTACTTTACTAACCCTACACAAGTTCAACAACAGAGAGTTTACCAAGCAACACTAACTTCATCCTCAGAAAACTCCTGTTTGATAGGTAGAGCTAATCCAGGGAATTAAGACTCCAGGAAGTGAAGTTACTTGATCAAATTCACTAGTAAGTGGGAGACATGGATTTTCTGCTCCCAGTTCAATGTGCTTTTCTGCCCAGAATGGTTTTGTTCCCTTCCTGCTCACAGTGTGGAACTGAACACAGCTGAATGAATTCTGAAGGCCCCTCGCAACTGTTCTGTACTAGAATCTCTTCTCTTTAGGGATTGGTGGAAGGTGCCCTCTCAGCGACCTAGAACTTGTACCTTAGCATTTCTGACACCAACCACTATGGTAACAAATGTGTCCCATGCCAAAATGGCAAGCGTATTCTCTGGTTTCCTTTTTTCCTTATTTTCCCACATTTTGTCAATTTGTTTCTATCTAAAGGTGGAATCCTGGTGTGGCTCTGTGGGGTTAATGCACAGGATTGCAAAGTAATTTGAATCGCGAGGTTGATGGTTCAAGCTCAGCAAACAGCCACTCCTTGGAAACTCTATACAGGGTCTCTATTGGTCAGAACTGACTCAAGGGCCCTTAACAACAACAAAAGAGAAGGACAAGGAGTCCTGATAGCATAGAGGGTTGTGTGTTGCTAACTGCAGGACCATCAGTTCCAACCCACCAGTGGCTCCATAGGAGAAAGATGAGACTTTCTGTTCCTGTAGAGATTTACAGCCTAGGAAACCTTATTTGTTGTTGTGTGCTGTCGAGTTGGTTCCAAATCATAGTGACTCATAGCAACAAGGAGTGGCTGGTGGGTTTGAACTGCCAACTTTATGGTTAGCATTCCTACAGCACCACACCAGGACTCCCAGAAACCCTATACAGGGTTTCTATGAGTCAGAACCAACTCAATGGCACACCACTAACACCACCACCAAAGAGAAGAATGAAATCTTGGTGTGGTGCTATAGGATAAGCACTGGGCTATTAACTGCAAGGTTGGTAGTTCAAACCCACCAGCCACTCCTTGGAAACCCTATACAGGATTGCTAGGAGTTGGAACTGACTCAACAACACAACAAAAGAAAGGGAAGGATGAAGGAGAGCACTGTGAATGAAAAAGTGCCTGTTGATATATGTGGAATCAGAGTCACATCTAGTCTGAGCCATTGAGCAGAGCTTGGAGAGAAATCTTCTAGCCCTTTATTTTCCCACCTGAAGGCATGGTCCTGTAAGAAGGACCACTGCTTACCAGCATTCCTTGTTTGCTTTGAACCAAGCTTCTGTATAAGTAGTGGCATGGCAGCTGCTCAGGTCACTGTGGGCCTAATACCTCCATATGCTAGAGGCTGGCCCGTGTGCTGTCTTTGCATGGTTTAGGGCATGTGCTCTGTATCGTGTGGCGCGGGGTGATGGAAACATGAGAATACTCATCATTGTTACTGAGAGACTTGTTAAAAAGTAAGTTGTCTAACACCATTGACTTCTTTTGCCTTGTATTGGGGTGGAGTTGAATGAGATGCTGACAGACGTGTGAAATCACGTTTTTATTGAATTCCTATTAAAATGTAGAGACTTAAAATTTCATCGTTCTCTTTGACACGCAGTAATGCTAATAAACATGCAGTATTTTGCAACTTAGTGAAGACCAGACCTATGACAAGGCTTCCCAAATTTTTCTGCTTATTCGAATCACATAAGATGATTTTTGAAACATTCAGTGCCAAATTGCACCGCATATAAATTAAAACAAAATCTTTGGGAATCCAGGCATCAATTAAATTTTTTTTCTTTTAAATTTTTCCAAGTGATTCCAGTTTACTACCAACTTGTAAACAAGGATAAAAATGTCAGGTGCCAGTTGCTTTAATTCCTTTGAGGAATTTGACTTAGTTAGCATGACCTTACTCCTGCCTCCTTAAGCGGGGTTACTTGCCTACTGTGCTGCCTGCCATGGTGACAATCCCTGGAAGAAAACTGTCTTCTGAATGTCTCCTAAACCATGGCTTTACCCACCTCCATTTCTTGTCCTCTAAGCTGTTCTTCTTTATGCATAGAAACAGAGCTTATGTGGTTCAAGGGAAAGGCCCATGATTTTGCAGGATCTTTGAGCTACAAGTCACCAAAGAAGTCTTCTGACTGTACTTCCTCCATTTAAGATGCTCAATGAGTCTTTGGACAAGAGTGATACAATTTTACATTATTCCACAGTCTGGAATAATGGAGGATGTCATATCCAGCTAGATTCCATGCCCGTTTCTTCTTCTGACAACCTAACAGAAGAAATGAAAAGATTGGCTGCTTAGCTTCCCGGGGAAGGCCAGTACATGTAGGAAAATAGGTTTTCCTGTCGACAGTATGTTCAATATGATATCCTATTATACTGTTGACCTCTGACTTGGAGAATGAGTTCTATTTCTGGAAGTTTCCTTTACTTTATCATGAAGACTTATAGTAGAAGCCAAGGGTGGGATCAGTGGGCACTTTCTTGGTGTATATTGGTGACTTTCAGGAACTTTATCCATCTTCTACCTCTTGTTTCATGTTGTGAAATTCATGGGATGAAAGACACAGGCTCCAGGTTATGAATCTCCATATACTTGGTATTCTTCAGTGGAGTGGGATTGGGAACATTCCATATGGTTCCCTTCAGTTTCTGTTCTGACCAATCACACACTCTCTTGCTGACCCTTCCCTCTGACCACCCTGTTAGTCTCTCATTTATGTTTCTTTCGGTCCAGGTGTCAGCACTGGCCCTCCTGCATCCTTAGCTACGTTGCCAAGTAGCCATTTGGAAGCCAACTCTTCCCACCACCTGAACCTTGCCCAAACCCACTCTCCTCCAAGAAGTACCAGCGATCTGGGCCAAATCCTGGAACCTGGCTACCTGGGCAACAGTGGCCCGTGGGACATGATGAGGCCTCAGAAAGGAAGTGTCTCTGGGGACTTATCCTCAGGCTCCTCTGTGTACCAGCTTAACTCCAAACCCACAGGTAAAGTACCAAGTGCAGAGGGTCAGCCTATGAAAGGAAGTCTGTTTCTGAGTCTGCTGCCTGCCTGACTGGCTCGGAGTCGGTAGAAAGTGGAGGGTCTGCACCAGTGCTGGGTCAATTCAATGTGCATCCCTTTGTCCTCCCTGTCCAGGTCCTCCCTCAGTACTCTGCAGGGGCCTGGGAAAGCCAGGGATCCACCTTTTGTTCTTTGACATCCATGTCCTTCATCCTTCCTTCCTCAGACCCCCTCTTAGCCCAGTCTTAGACTCAAAGACTGCCAGACACTAACATTCACTAAGACATTCTTCTATCAGACAGGAGTTGTTAGAGAAAGAGAGGTCATTTCCACAAAACAGTTCCCCTCTTCACATGTATGAGAGGGCTTCAAGAGGTTATGAGAAAATGGAATAAAAAGATAATGGCATTTTTCCATGAATTATTTTGAAGTTCCCTGATGTATCATGTGTACAAAATGCAGTTAAAACAGAATTGACTCAGTGGAACTTAACAACAACAAAATCTTTTACATTGCCTCTTTTATCAGAGAGTCGAAGGGAGTGCTCTAATCGCTGCTAAAGAATGTGCTGTCAGAAGTCAGTAAGAAAGGCATTAGGGTGGAAAGTGAGACCTTCCTTAGCACCTCAAAGTCATACCCAGGAGACAGCCACACCTTTCCAGGTCCTTTTGTTGTTGTTGTTATGTGCCATGGAGTCCGTTCCGACTCATAGTGACCCTGTACAGGGTTTCCGAGGCTGTAAATCTTTACGGGAACAGAAAGCCTCATCTTTCTCCCACGGAACAGCTGGTAGTTTCGAACTACTGACCTTGCGGTTTGCAGCCCAATTCATAGCCACCACACTACCAGAGCTCCAGGCCCTTTTAGGAGCTTGAAATCATTTTTTTAACCCATGTGGAACTCCCTTAAACTTACCAGACCCCATGAGTTTGTTTAGCTTTGGGCCTTTCTGTGTTTAAAGTCCACTTACTCATTATATGAAGTCTCCTGTCTTCCCTGGGTCCCCATGAGAGGATTAACTTGGCAGAAGTATGGTGATGTTTAGGGAACTTGTTGCAGGGCTGCTAGGGAAGCCCTGCCCCTAACTTCCACTAGTAACCACAATTCTGCATCTCCCATTTGTCTCCCTGCCCTCGTGGGATGTCTGCAGGGGCCGACCTGCTAGAGGAGCATCTGGGTGAGATCCGGAACCTGCGCCAGCGGCTGGAAGAGTCCATCTGCATCAATGACCGCCTGCGGGAACAGCTGGAGCACAGACTCAGCTCCACTGCCCGAGGAAGTGGTAGGAGAAACCCCAGTCTTCCTATATTTGGGATCACATTTAGGAAGCTTCTCAATGGAACACATCCAGGCAGGGATTTGCTGTTTTTAAAGCTATTTGATCTGCTTTATTTCACTTGTTCCTTACAAAGAGTCCAGCACAGGAGATGGGGCAGGTACTACTATCCCCACTTGATGGCTGTAGCTGAGCTCAGATAGTGACTTTCTGCATTACAGAGCTAGGTCTGGTCCCAGAATTGTCTGACCTCTCATCTCATCCTCTAAGTGCTGATATATGGCCTACTGGCTCCTCTGTGCCCTTGTGTGATTGACAAGTGGAGGAGGCTAGGTCTTCAAGGCTCCCCACCCTGGCCACTTCATGGAGATGGCCTTTCTCCTTACACTCTTCTCGTGAGTGTGTGTCACTTGGAGGCCATACTATGCACATACCCTTGTCCTGCCCACACCAGCAGCTATTTAAAGGGAACGAACAGCAGCAGTTATTGAAAGGGAATGAGCCTTCTGCACTATTGCAGACCTGGTGGGTAATAATGCAGGACAAATACACCAAGAAGAGACACATGAAAACCAAGTGTGTGTCCCATCATTCGACAGGCCCAGGGCTTCTGCAGATACAGAATGTGAAATTCTTAAAAATATCTCTCACCCAAATTCACAACTTGCCTAATGCTTTTTCTGGAACAGGATCCTCCACTAACTTCTGCGGTCAGAGCCTAGACTCCATACCTCAGCTCTACAATGAGAACAGGGCCCTCAGGGAAGAAAACCGAAAACTTCAGGCTCAGCTGAGCCACATTTCTAGAGGTAGGTGGCCCAAACCCACAGACTGTGGCTACTACTTGATCCCTATTTCCCCTGTCAACCCTAATCACCAATGGGAGAAGCATAGAGAAGAAGGCAGAGGTGATAGAGCAGCCCAAATACCCAGTTATTCTCAGTCTAGTAAGGGCTACTTCCCAGGAGCTCCCAACTATGAGACCCTCAGAGTCCCTGTCAATAATCCTTGAGAAATCATGACGATCAGAGAGATGACAAAAGCCCAGAAAAGACCCAATGTACCAACTTTCTCAATGATGAAAATAATGTCTTCTACAAATTGTAGACAAGGAATCTTCGGTGTTGATCTTTGGTAAAATTCAAGAGTGGATTATCAAACAGCTGGCAGGTGAACACTAGAAACCAGAATGTTTTCTCTAAGAAAAAGTTTGTTGTTATTGTTGTTTAGTGCCATCGAGTCAATTCTGACTCACAGCAATGTTGTCTAGGGTTTCCAAGGAGCAATTGATTTGAACCACCAACCTTGTGGTTAACCTTTAGGTCCAGTACTTTATCCCATAGTGTCACACGAAGACTCAGTGTATTTTAAGATCACATTGCCAGTAAATATACTAGAAGAACAAGTCAGATCATCTTACATCAGAGGATCACGGACCTTACAAAGCAGAGGTACATCATTCTCCAGGACATGTGGATGTAGCAAGCTGACACTCTCTTTGTCCACCAGCATAGGACCTTCCTTCCCTTTGCCTTCCTTCTGCTTGACAGGATAGATGTGCTTGGGATCATCTTCCTGCTGACCCTTGACCCCACAATATAAATGCTTCTTTGTTCTGCTCACCAGAGCACTCCCAGGAAACCGAATGTCTGAGGGAGGCGCTACTGTCTTTGCGTGCCCGGCTTCAAGAGCTGGAAATGGAGTTGGAGCACCAGAAGGTGGACCGACAGCAGCTTTCGGAGGACTTGAAGGAAAAGCAGCAGGAGGTCTTGCATTTCCGGGAGGAACGGCTATCCCTCCAGGAGAAAGACTCCAGGTAGGAGCGGGCTCACTGATAAGAAGGTGGCCCCTTTGTCAGATTTAGAAGGACCTGGTGTGGCGCTGTGGGATGAAGCACTGGATTGCAAGGTCAGTTTGAACCACAAGGTTGGTGGTTCAAACTCACCAGCCGCTTGTTGGGAACCCTATTCAGGGTCGCTATGAGTCCGAGCTGACTTGCTGGCACTTAGCAACAACATTGACAAGCTAGCCAATGGCCTCTTTGGAAGCCTCATTTCCCCTTCTTCCTCTTCTTTATTCATGGATGTCTTTAAGTTTCTGGGTGGCACAAATGGTTTGCACTCAACTGTTGTGGCACTGTAGGATAAACACTGGACTACTGGAGTCCTGGTGTGGCGCTGCAATTCGAACCACAAGATCAGCGGTTCAAACTCACCAGTCACTCTTTGGAAACCCTATACAGGGTCTCTGTGAGTCAGAACCGAATTGGTGACACTTAACAACAACATAGACACTAACATAAAGGTTGACAAGTTATATTTTCACCAGGGCAATTCTGCCCTGAGCCTTTGAGCAAGCTACTTTACCTCTCTGACCCTTTATTTCCACATCTGTAAAAGAAAAGGGATGAACTTCTTTACCTCTGAGTTGACATCTAGGGCAAAGGTTGACTGGCAGCTTCATGCCTGGTGTGACCAGACCATGCCCACAGCTCTGTGACCCCTTGTCTTTCCTACAGACTGCAGCACAAGCTGACCCTCCTGCAGCAAGAGTGTGAAGAGAAACAGCAGCTTTTCCAGTCCCTCCAGTCTGAGCTACAGATCTATGAGGCTCTTTATGGCAATGCTAAGAAGGGGCTGAAAGGTATGTGGTCCTCTCCTTCTCTCTCCTTTATTTCTCTCCCCGCAAACTTTCTACCTTAGAATCCAGTGAAACCTTTCCTTCAAGGGTTGTGGAGATCTTGCAAAGATATAGGTTCCAAATTTTCTGAAATACGACTAGATATAGAGACTGCGTAAGGCTGAGAGAGTAAGTCATTTATGTCCCAAGGCATGGAAGCCTTGGTGAGTGTTGAGTTGAGAGGAAACCAGCCTGACCCTAGGAACTTTGTATTGCGGAGTTGTGTGAGGTCACATTAGATGAAGGGAGACTTCTTGGTTACAAGGGTATGATAAAAGTTTACATTTTATGTAGCTGTTGTTGTTAAGTGCTGTCAAGTCGGTTCTGACCCATAGTGACCCTGTATAGGGATTGCAAGGAGCAGCTGGTGAGTTTGAAACGTCAACCTTGGAATTTAAATGGCTTTGCAGTCTAGCGCATTAAGCCACACCAGGACTCCATTTTATGTAATGTTGTTGTTGTTGTCAGGTGCCATCGAGTTGGAACCGACCCATAGCGACCCCATGCACAGCAGAACGAAACAATGTCCAATCCTGGGCCAACCTCACTACCGCTGCCACACTTGAGTCCATCAATGATGCCACCTGGC